CAAATAGATGGGGCCACCTGGTACAGGTGTCACCTTGAAGTATGTTTGTTTTGTTTTGTAGCAATTAATTTATATTATTTTTCACGTTCTAATTTTGAAGCATAAAATGCAGCAAATCCGGCCAGTGCGCGGTGAAATCCAAAAACAGTTCGAAATTTGAGGTAAATATAAACGGATGCAAAGCGACACTTTTGCTTTTGAGAAATATAGTGCCCTGGAAATATCACCCAGTGCTGTGGAAACTGTATCGAAGGAACCTCCATTAACTTATGTGGCCTCCAATAGCGAACTCTTAATTCAATGAATTATTGGACGAATTTTGAATAAAAAAGACACTTTTTCGAAAGAATATATTTCATATAATAAAGGTCACAAATCATCAAACTTTTTTAAGATTATCAAAGCAGCAAAAGAACAGGAACCTTTGCAATAAGGATGGACAGGAACCTTAAACTAAACATTTTTTATTTTCCATGAAACTACATCTAAATGAAGCAATTATTATGCAGTTTTCAATACTGTGGCTATTTTTTGTGCTCTCTGCACATTGCCAACCTCTCTTGGAAGTTGTGTCTGAGGAATAACAACTTGCTGTTTACGTATGGCGCGTTTATTACCTTGTACTTTACACTTAAGGTAACTCTTTACCATGCAGAAGGATATATTTCTCAATCGTAATTTCAAGTTTCGGTGATATTTTTTGATCCACATTCCTACCAAAACTAAAAACCACCACTTAAGCTTTTTGACTGCACTTTAAAAAAACACCTAACAAATTTAACAACAATCTCGCATTAGTGAGAGCGCATGAACATCACTTTTATGTCACTCACCTGAGAAGTCAGACTCGTGCTAGCCTCCATACAATTATTGTATGCCTGCACGCTCCACAAATTCAGTTTCAATTCAGTTCAAATAGTTTCAAACATCGCTCTATACCGAAAGTAAATCATAAAGCAAGGAAGATAATCCGCGCGAATTCCACACATTTAACTTGTTTTCCTAGAACATCTAGCGAGATCTAGGCATATTTTGAGATAATGCTGCCGTATCCAAATTTATTGACGATCTTTCAACTGCAACAGGTAATTGGTTAAAAACGAAATTTTAAATGTCGCGCATGTTGAATGGACCATTTGAATTTTGTTTTTATAGCACCATATTTCTAATAGCTACACTATACACAGAATTGTTTCTACATCCTTCTCTAAAACGCCAATTTTGCATCGATCTAGGTAAATAAAAAATTTAACACATTATGCTTTAACAAAATGTTTTGCTAATATTTGATTGAAAATTACTGCTAAAACAACAAATATTTCCCTTTTTAGCAATAGCGATATGATATGTAAGAATTCTTTTTTAGTGAGACAATGTTAAAATAAATAAACGCTTACGCCGGGGTCGTTTATCACCTCGATTTCATGCGCGTCTTGTACTACGTCTGCTCTTGTTTGCCACAGGCAGTATTAAATAATAACCACAATTTAATGGTTAAATCGATGAAATATAACAGTTTGGCAGTTCTATGCAACTGTGTGACATTTGGCGAAATATCGAGAAAAGTAATAATAGTTTTCTCTAGAGTAAAAAGTGTTGGAATTGATTGAAATTTGTTTATTGACGTTTTAATTCTGTACATATATTTTAAAGATACATAACACTTTAAATACAGCTTTTCATACATCGTTTCGAGATTATTTAATGTTAGATATAAGTACAGTCTCATATTTGTTTGCTTACCTATAATATATATATATATATATATATATATATATATATATATATATATATATATATATATATATATATATATATATATATATATATATATATATATATATATATATATATATATATATATATATATAAACAACATTGTACATTGTACAGCACATACATATATTACAAACACTATTAGTGTCACTCGTTTGTTTGTCATTTCTATACCGAAACAATAACCGAAATAAAGTTAATATTATTTTACATACTAAAACATATGACTGATATTCTAATTACATATCCTAACAACCTTTAAACCGTTTTATACAAGTAATTTAATCCTGCATTAGTAGGAAAAACGTATTTGCGGATTAATTACAATATCTACATATTCAAATTTTATTTTTAATTATCTTATTTATTCTATTCACTAGTACTAATATATGTAATAAATAATCTCTTAAATAAATGTCTTACTTTTGACTAGAAGTACACTCGTCATTGAATGTAAAATAAATTTTGATAAAAAATAAACAAAAAAAAATTAATAGCTTAGCGGAAGCACAGAAATCTATGCGTTGGCACGTGCCTTGCTACAAAATGTTAAGAAACACCTCACGGAAAACAATGCGAATTATATTCTCTATAATATCGTTTCCCTTTAGCTTTACCAGCTAAAATCGCCTTTATATTAATATCACAAATCGTAAAAAACTTATGTATTTTTAGCTAAATTGTTTTAAAGTATTAAAATAAAATATTTTCCCAAACCAGATCTCTTTATAGTGAAGGTAAGTTGCCGCTTGGAGCGTATTGCAAGACTTTTTTCCCTGCCCGCACTTAGTTCAAAAATTAACTTAATAATTCCGGCTGCAAACTGCTTGCCAGAAAATCGTAAATAAAAGGCTCATTTCCTTTAAGTGTGTTTAAACCACCAATTCGTTTATTATAATTGCCACAGTTCCGATTCGATTTTGGCACGGCGCAGCCCGTTTATTACAGGATGATACCTGTAAAAATTTCAATAAAAGTTTAAGACAAAATTTATTCGCATTCTCTATTATATATGATGTCCCAGTGAAGTGAAGTTTGCAGGTCTAACCCATTGATCTATCGATTTTTGCGAAGTAGTTATTATGTGCTCCATTGCCTGATATAAGTGGTCTGTTTTGGATATTTTAAAAATAAATAAATGCAGGTTGATCAAGAAATTAAAAATTAAAAATTTTAATGTTTTAAAGTTTATAAACAGGTTTTCTAACCAAATTAACAAATAATAAATAAAACAAATTTAAGACACGAAACTGTAAGGTATAGAATATTTACTGTTTTAAACAGTAAATATTAAATAATTTTTTAAAACAAAGTTGTTACTTATCCACGAAAAACAAACATTTTGAATATATAGTGGTATAATTTTCGAAAAGTATAAACGAATCCAAGAACAAGTTTTTTTTTTAATTTTTAATAGGTTCTGAGAGAAGGTATCATCTCATAATAAACGGGCCAGCCTGTACGTCCAAGTTAATAAATTTTCTAATTATAGTCGCCTTAATATTATATTTTACCCAAACTAACCAAAACTGTGTAGTAACGCCGAACAAAAACGTTGGACAAAACAATTTCGCAAAGTAACTGTGACTCTGATCGGAATTAGTTTCTTTTTTAAACAAATTTTTGAAAAATATTGGTACAATTGCTTTTCTCACTGTTCCCCTGCTTCCCAAAATACCTATATAGGGTGTCTCACGATCTATGAAGCATTTGGGGTTTTGGGAAATGGGGAGTTAGAAATTTGCTGAAAATTTGGTACTTGGTAAACACACTGTACGTCGCAAAACGCATTATTTTATAGGAATCTAGTACGCAAGATGTTAGCGCACTGCACAATTTAAATTGTCTATTTCAGAAATAAAATATACAAAATACAAGGTATCCTATTTAAAAATTCAAATTAGTCGCTACTTTTCAATAGAAGCGGCTACATTGCGATACTTTAGATCGGTAGATCAGAGTAAAAAACAAGTGACCCAATTTTCAGCAAATCCTTACCTCCCGTTTTCTTAAAACGTCTAATGTTCTATCGAGCGTGAGAAACCCTGTATAGCATGTAACAAGCAACTAAAGTCCACTAATAATGCGAAATAGAAGATACGACTAGACCGGTAAAATATCACTCAATGGTATTACCATTTTCAAAAATGACTAGAATGTGCAGCGAATTTGGTTCAGACTAGAGTTTATTACTATATGACTAGATAAATAGGACTAAACCAATAATTGAGATCCTTAGTGTGAATTACTGATTAGAGTTTCAATATACTACAAAATGTACAACAAATAATTCTACGATGTATACCTACTTTGGAATGTTGCGTATGACGATGACTAGAAAGATTCGGGGTGACTAGAAAATATACAAATTAACTACTAACACTGACTAGTAATAATACTAATATTTTATAATTAATATTTAAAACGTTTACTACGTATAACATTATGTGAAGCCAGTATCAGCTGCCACTTAATGCTGTTTTAGAGTGCGTGTATAAAGCAAGTCCATCCCTTTTATTTTTTGAATCAGCAGCTAACATTTTTTATTTTATAATGGTTACCATTACGATTTCTTTACGTATTTTATAAAACCTGAGAACCTATCAATTCATCGAGAAACGTTTTTTTTACTTTTAAATGGAGAATCTTATAAAGGTAACGGTGAACAAAAACTTTATTTATTTATTTGTTACTAAGAGGTTGCCGTTAGCTTTAAATAAATTTTATAACGCCAAGGAACACATTTAAGTTACTAGTTACTGAAACCTACGTACAGTTTATGTATAAGCAAAAATGCTCCTTTTTGCTTCACGTTTTCCTATATCATTTATTTACAATACTTTATTTCTAAAATTAAAATGACTTAAAAAATATTACAATAACAACTCAAAAAATTAGACGACTTGATTTTAATTGGCTCAAAAAAATATATCGAATAATTTTATATTTTACTCTTTTACAATTCTTAAAACTAAGAAAATAACAAAGTTCGCTTGTTAAAAACTTATATGTATATGAACTTCCAAGTACAATTAAATACCTTGGAAACTTTTCTAAATTTGGTCTAGGTGTTTTATAGCAATACTTCTCTTAGTCCTATCCCACACATGGCGGAACAATGGCGGAATTTCCGTCGGCAGAGTCCACGTAGAATCCACCGGGGAATCAGTACAATACCTTAAATGACGGAAAAAAGTTGGGATTTCTAGACGCGGATGGCGAAGGATTGTAGAAGGTACGAACACTATATTGTTTTATTAGGCTTTTGTTAACTTGGTATGTGTCCTGTTGATTAATGGTTTGATGGTTGCGGATAAATTAATCCAATCCAAATTGGTGAGTTGATGGAAGAAGAGAATTGGGAAGCTTGAACCAAGAAGGAAAAAACACGATACGGCTACGTAACTAAACTTATTATAGTATACTTCATTTTTAAAAATATTTTCTATATGATGAAGTTTTACGTTTACGATGCCAATGAACAATTTGGTCTAAAAATGACAACAGTAAAACCAAGTTCATGATAATAAGTCAACAGAACATCAGAAATTTCAGTTGTTTACCATAGAGAATCTAACAGAAAGAGTGTCCAAATTCACTTATTTGGAAACGATATTTAACAAGCACTCTCTACACACTCTTCTACTGAGTAGAGTCATTGACATTGAATATATAATATATAATGCGAAACGAAAAGAAATACGTCTCATTTAAGATATTCTCCAGGAAAAAACCTGTTACAAGAGAGACCCGGGAGGCGTAGGATATCATGGTGGAAGAACTTAAGAACATGGTTTTGTAAAACAACCACTGAATTATTCAGAGTAAAAAGGTTCATTATAGCAAGGGTAATTGCCAACGTTGGAAACGAATAGTCCTTTGGAGGAAAACAAGAAGATATTTGTACGTTAAAACTTTATCTGTAAAATAATGTACTTCCATTTGTCTCATAGGCAAAAGAGAAACTGATAAAAGCGGAAGCTGACTATGTGGGTTAATTAGAGCTGAAGCGCATTTTTTTGCTATAATGTTTTTAAAAGTACCAAAGTAACCAACACTAAAGTCTTTATAGATAAAGCGACAGAAACTTGATATTTATCGGACATCTTACCAATAATACCAATGGATTTCTCATAAAACTATAAAGACTGTTCTGAAAGCTGGGGTTTCTTATAAAATATCCGTTGTTATATAATAAAATTTTGAGCTGCGAAAAATGTTAGTTGGGTTTACAGTCATGCTATATACGTTATAATAAAACCTTAAGCCGTTAATTTTGATTTGGACATGCTACGCAATAATACTTACCGAGATATAAACCTTTGGGAATATGATAAAAATAGTTAACATTTTTATGACGTCGATCAAGACTAATGCCATTCAAATTAAATGGAAAAGAGAGGGTTCAAAATTAAATTGTATTGCGGATTTCATGGCATTCAATTATTTTACGTAAAAAAAAAACAAAATTAGAAAATAAATATTTCTTCAAACTTGATTGTAAACAGTCTATTGTTGCAGGTTATCCGGTACCAACCACTGCAGTTATTCTATTTTTCTATGGAATGCAAAAATTATATGTTATAATTATATATTAATTGAATTGTTAATGGAGCTACAAAATTTGGTTAGCGCTAAAAAAAATTAGGATCTCAATAACTTTCTGAAAACTCAAGAGCCCCTTCGTTCAAGAAAGATGAATATCGACATTGCTTGATACACGCGGGATATTTTATAATTGAATAATAATATTGTAAGCATAAGTTATTTATGGAATTATTAATTACGGTAGTTGTGTAATCAGCCACAATATTTTGGAAATTATGGAAACTATTTTGAAGAACACCATCCAAGCACCCTACTCAGATATTAAGCAAAGACAAATGGATAAAAGAATCTAGTGCTTTACGAATAGATGCGAACATTTAACATAAATTTTGTATTCTGATTTTTAGAACAGCTATCCGACATCCGTATTAGAAAAATTGTAACTGCAAGTAATAGCAATGCTTGAAAAATGACCAGAAGCTCAGATTCAGTCAAAATAACTAACTAAATAGACCCTGTTCTACCGTGAAATATCACATCTTTTGGTCTTACTTATTTTACACTTTTTTAATATAGAATTGAGTAACTCATGTTTATAAAATCTTTGGCTTCAAACATTAATGATATACGCAAAACGCTAACCATGAGTATTTTAAAATACTCTTCTTAAATTATATCTAACGAAAGCATTTTTTGTGCCTAATTATGAAAACTGTACAGTACGGAGAAATTATTTTACAATATTATTTACAATTTGAAAAATCCAACCAATTCATACCAGGAAAGAACCTTTCGGGAGCAACAGCATCCCCACCAACGGGGGGCAATGGTGGCGGTCTCCACAATGAAGGGGGCAGTCTCGGTATAGGCCGGACTGGGACAAGCCTTTGTCAGTCGACTTGATGTATAGCCTGATGTTTCCGAAGATAGGCTATCTAGAAACCAAGGATATCAACATAAATAAGAGCATAAATATGAATACATTGTTAACTAATTTTAGTTGATGCAGATGGTTACGATTCAAAATTATGCACCACTAAAATTTGGGTCAATTTGAAAATTAATATTCTCGCAAACTGTTGACTCGTAAATTGTAAAAATGTTTTATTTAAATTTGCGTTTTAGACATTTAAAGAGTTTTTAGAGAAAGCCCAGTTTCGTACTCAATGTTTTTACATTCTTTGGCAATTTAGATCAATATGAGTGTAAAAGTCGATGCATAGCCTCATCTTTTATCAACATTTTGTATTTTTCTTCACTTCTTAATCTCACTTATTAAATGCAATACGGAATTGAATGTCAAACGTACTTATTATCAGACGACTCATACTTTGAAACAGAAGTTTAGATTTCCCTCTAAGCTCCCTACGCTTGTGATTATACAAATTCTCTATTGGGTTAAGGTGTGAACTGCGTCCACACAAACATCGGTATATGCTGATAAAAAGTCAACATAAAAAATAATCTGCAAGATTCGGCGTCTTTTACCAACATCTACGTTTTTAATCGATTTGATCTGCCCTACAAATAGGTAAATTTTTAGGTCATACGAGACTTCTTATAAATAACTTATACGTTTTTCTTAGAATGTGTGTCACCTGCTTCCAATATTTAATAGTAAAGGAATGAATGTTCAATAGATATAAATAATTGATACGAATGCGTTATGTTTAATTGATTAATACCGTCGATATTTTTTATTCGTATCCTTTGCGCGGTGACAAAGAAACGGAACCACTCAGTAGACCAAATATACGTAGTTTGATTAAGTAAAAAATTAGTTTTGATTAGCATTTTGCAGTGTTTGATAAGGAATGTTTTCGTATAAAAACTTTTTCAATACGGAATTAAAATTCAAATAACAGAGTTAGTAGTAGTAGAAGTAGTATTAGTATTATTTTAGACAAGTCAAGCGCAAATAATAACCAGTGAAATAGGAAGAAAATGATTACTTTTTAAATAGAATTGTGGTTGGATTTTTTCACACTTTTAGATATTCTCATAACGGTATCATTATAATAAAAGAAGTTAAATGAGCACTGCTAAGAAACTAATTAAAGTGAGTTATTTCTTGGTTTATACAAATAAAATACAAGGTTTATTATTACATTCTTGGATTCTGTGAAAAATTCTGGAACTTTACATGTAAAATTGAGGTATTTTATTTTCACATAATATTGCAAAGATGGAAATAATTACCTATATTTTAAGTTATAGCATACACGGTGTTTTCAAAATTATCTAGGTATTGCAAAATATGTAAATGGTTAGTTCTAAATGTTTTAATATTTTCGAATAGCTTAGAAACTCACCCTGCGAAATCTTTTGCCGCAATCGTTGCAGGGAAACTGCTCGCCGGACTCTGATTCGCTAACTGATCCGTCGTCCTGTTTGTTTTCTTTGCTAACCCTCGGTTTATGCCATCGCCGGTGCGATGCCAAATTTGCGGGGCAATTAAACACCTTGTCGCATTCGGGGCAACGATACTCCACGTGGACAATGCGGGAACACCTGAACCATCGCGATTTGATAACAGTTTTATAACAGTTTTTATAGTTTTATAAGAAAACTCTTAATGAGTTTTGTCCAATAAATACCAAAGCACTTTCAGTTTTATAATATTGCATTCAAAATGTTTCCGATACTTTATAAAACTGTTGGTGTTGCTTATTTCAGGTTTTTTAAAATGGTTTTATAGCGTTCTTATAAACTTTATTATAACACTTTTACTGTCAGGGTTTTATGGCTTACTCCATAAAACCCATTTCAATATTACAGCACCTAATAAATATGCCGCTATGGACTAATTTGAAACCACCGTGTCAATACTGGGCTGTTTTCCCAACTTCTGTCGTTTGTACAATTTTTAAAGGCCCGTTTAGTTGAATACTAAACTTTGTCCAGGTATTTATAAAAACTAAGCACACTTCTTAAAAGAACAAATAAATAAACAACTAAAAAGTGGGGATATGAATTGCATATTTTCCGGTTTCTTTTAGTTTTATAGCAGAATTTTTTTTTTATAAATACTTTCTTGCTAAATTATAACACTATGGGTATTTCGAAATTGCCTTGGTTTTTATTGGAAGAGCAGATAATTCTATGAGACAGCTAGGTAAGTTTTAAATAAGTTATGACTGGAAACTCCATATAAAACTATAAGTTTTTAAAAGGCGAAGCTGCTAAACATTGTTATGTTAACTAGTGAGCTGTTAAAGTTTCAGCTGTATACATTCCATAGTTTGTCTACAAAAACTGATAAAATGAAATGAAAAAATAAATCAAGCTGAGTTGGACAAAGTTCATGACACGTCTGCTTCTAAGTTTGTGTTTAGAATTAGGCGAATCAGTGAAAAAGTGTCTACTCACTAAAAATTGGGTGTGAAAAATATCTTAGCAAGATGGGTGCCGCGTTTGCAATCATGTGGTCGAATCTTGATGAGTTTCTGAGCCAACATATGACAAAACAGTGGATTTTAGAAAGCGAAGACATTAAACCACTTAGTAAAGGGAACAACGATAACATCGGGGTAGTATGCGCCATTATTGTCAAAGCTGCGCAAAAAAAAAGAAAAACGTCCTAATCTGAAAAAAAAAGATCCTGTTGCAGCTGCGAAAGCCATGAAATTAAGTTTCCAATTATTAAAACATCCACCGCATTCACTACATTTGGCCACCAGTGACTATTTCTTGTTTCCTTAGTGGACAAAGGTTTACGTATTAGTAGGAAGTAATCGCTCAAACGCTTAGACAAACGTATAGGGTTAAAAGGAAAGTTGAAAAGTAAACAGATAATGTACAAAAACAGTTTTTTCTACTTTTTTCTAAGGACTTCGATATCAACCCACGTATAATATACTTTCGTTACATAATCTGTGTCCATATTGAAAGAAATAATGATTGGCCTCATTTAAAAAAAACTAAATATGGACATATGCTAACAACAATAAATACTTTGTACGTCACCATGGGAACGCATCAATATGATTCGATTGTTTCGAGATGCTCCATAACCTACTTGAACTTTTATATTTTTTAATAATTCACTATTTTAAGGAGTTTCCGACTCACAGTGCGACATCGAAAACTATTTTATCGATACTCATCGATCGACACGGGTTAGTTCTCGTACGCCCTAAACAATGAACATAATGAATACGTACTTCTTGTTAAGCCGTTTGAACGCGCCGCGTAATTATACGTTAACGTAAAACGTTGGAACAACACGCAACGTTCAATCAACACGTGGTTCTCACATTGTGCGCGTGTGATGGCGCACGGCGCTTGCAATACCGTGAAACGTATGTGACTGAAGTTAGAGTTGAACATGGATTCGGATTTACAAACATTACAGTGGATCAGTTCGTTACTTTCCCTAATGCGATCAGGAAACGCCCGAAAATTACATTCGAGATTGTTGTTGTTGAGGAAGTTAATAAATCAGTAATAAATTAATTCAGTTGCTATTTTACAGTCTCAAAAAAATCTGACGTGGTCACTTAGGTGAGGCTTAAAATGATGTATTGTTCGACCATCTTGAGACGGGAAGATACAAAACTACCCACAAAACCTAAGATATTTTATGTAGCGTCATTGTAGGTTCCTGATGTCAAAAAGATATCTTCTGCATACGTACAGTATTTAGTAGTTTGCCGATATTTACTAGCTATAATCCAAAATAGATACTTTTGTATCATGCCCAATGATGGATATGCTCGGAAATTAAAAATCTGCACATCCTATGGATATGTTATAATTATGTTATTATTATGTTATGTTATGAATGCTTATTCAGAATTAATTTCCTCACAATTATTAGCAAACTGGGCTGTTTCAGAAAACATTCCGTAAAAAAGATACCAGGGTTAAATATCCGAAATTTTGCATTGAATAATTACCAATTAATAACCGGATCATCTTACAAACACCTTGGCCCATTTTGTGTTCCTTAAAGCCTAGAGACAAGTTTTTCTTGTAGCTATTTATTATGATGGTCAGAAAAATATTTTGTGTGTGAAATAACAGGTGAAACGTGCGACAAAATTCCGTTTCCCCGTAGCATTGAACACAGTTAATCGAACCGACTGCTCATTTCTATATAAAACACGTAACAAACACAATAATTATGACACAGCTCTTGAAATTTCCCAGTTTTAACATGATTACCCATATGCATTGTGTTCTATTTGGTGTTACCAAAAGTTATATAGGTAATAAATGCTTTGGATGGATTTTTGGACAACCTCCAAATAAACTTTGTTTCAGAGATACAAAGTAAAAAATTATGAGATTTAAAAACTTACACGCCTTGTGAATTTTAAAGGAAACCACGTCCCATATTTGAATCAAAGCGATGTAAGCCGACCGAATTTTGCTTATTTCTTTTTTATACCTACGGCCCAGTAGTTTTAAAATATCAATATCTGCCGAAAATATCAGATTTTTTCAGACAGTCTTGCATCATAACTGTTATAATTTGATCCACCTAGCAGATTGCTTGGTGTATTAGGCGACTAGTCCCTTTGAGTATATCTATGAAGACAATCAATTTTTTCAGCAGATCGTTCATCAAAGGCTAGCATAAGATAAGCCGAAAAACACAATCAAACCAGCAAACTATTCTCAGTTAAGATTTATGAACCAACACAAAGAAATGCATCACTTACTATAAATTATCAAGGACCGCAGTATAGACAACTAAGATTGTATAAACTCAACAAAAAAGGAGATAGATTTGAAGAATTAGGTGGCTGATCAATTATAGAAATTGTAAATGTCGATACCGTAAATATATAAGAATAATAATAAATAATATAAATGACGTATTTTTCATAAGCAAAACAAATGACATGTTACGAGAGTTGTAGATCGCTTTTATTAGAGGAAAACTTGTCCTACCTTATAAAAAATACATTGTTGGAACATTTTCGCTTTTTCATTAAGAACAAAAATGATTTGGTCAGTGGAAACATTTCAAGAAGATGGGACATTCGAAACCATATGTGGCAACTGGCTTAATTTTGTTTTAATTATGCAGGTTTCCCCCAAAAAATCATACCAAAATATACCTTGTATTATTAAAGGAAAAAGCATCTTCGGAAGATGACAGGCATACGAGGTCGCCCTTCTGATAACTTATGTTTCTAAACTCCCTTTAGTGGTTCCATATCTGAGAGAGCATCAAGTTTTATAACATTACAAAACAAAAAACATCACGATTTTAGACATTTCGAGGCCCTCCTCTTCCTGTGAGATAATTTTAGATATGTACTATTAAACTTTCAATTTAAAAAAACTGCTATAGGAATTCAGCACCAACGTTTGATTAAATTTGCAAGATTTGGTACGCTGTACGATGTGAAATGAAATACCTGTGCTGGGCTAATCCGAAAGCGTCCTCGTAGAGTTCTTTGCACAGCCTGCAGACGTAATCGCCGATGTGGTTTTCGATCTTGGCTAATTCTGCTTTGGCTTCTTCGGTTATTTCGACCACGTTGAACGCTGGGTCGATGTCGCCTTTCCTTACGACTAAATTTTCATCGGGGCGCAGTTCTCGAATTATGGTACCGGACACTGGTGAGCTGTTGTCTTCGTCAAAATTGAGCTTACGGATAGCCTTGTTTTTTTTCGGGCTTAATGAACTCAACTGGAACAACACGCCTTGTTAGGATCGCTCCATTTTTGCGTTCTCTTGCTAATTTGCTTTACAATATAGGCTAAAATTATAGTTAGAATTACGTTCATTCTCGCCACAAGATTATAAAAACAGCCGTTTATTAGAAACTGATTTAGGTTCATTTGAAAATTCTTAAGCGTCTCTTGGTTCTTTATTTCAGTAGGCTGTAGATTAATATTTTTGTTTTCATTGGGTTAGTCTACAGTCTAGACAATGACCACACTTGAGGGTATTAGGAAATAATTGTTTCACCATTTAATATAAACCAGTGTCTCTCTCTAAAAATGTGAATATCAAGTTCGAGAATAAGAATACCGACAAAGTCATCTCTTAAAGGGAGGTTTACATGACTCGTTCGGTCGAGCATGCTGTTGAGGCCCCACTTCTGGCTTTTGAAGACACCTAAGTTGCTTTCTTGTTAATATTTGTCTTTAATTTAGTAAAATAAAACACGATGAGTTTATTTTTGACGATAACTTTAACTTTTAGGAAGAAAATATAACCGACATCGTCTGCGAACTTTAGAGCCACACGAAAACAGGTTCGAGACGATCAAAAATACTTTTTACGTAGGTAATAAAGGAAAACGATTCCGGGACGGACGGAATCCTCTTTGGCGTAATTTTGTTGTTTCGACAGCAGTTTATACAGCATATTTAGTTTTAATTTCGTGAATTGTCTTTAGTATTGTACGTATGATTCAAATGAATGCATCCAAATCTGTTGCTCTGTTATTCTCTAATGATAATGTTCGAGATGAGCTAACCGAACGTATAGTAGGATTGTAAAAATGTGTGTGCTATTGATGAAAATGCAAAATTAAGAAAAAGCAACAGCTTTATATATCAAATATTGTGAGTTTCAGAAGAAAACCAACTACTCCACTAGAACCCAAGTAAAGAAGTTTATGCAGGATAGTTTTTAGCTTTTCGAAAAGTTTACGTATAACCGACCTAAGAAGGGTTTCTAAAAATGGATAATTTCCAAAATCACTCTGTATCTCAAAATCCGAGATAACTATGCGATTCCTGCTGCTGCCACCTTTCATTTCATGAAGAAGTAGCCGTAGGTCACAAAACACACTGTACATAACAACAGTTCACTACATTTCGCTATCTTAAGCAACAAAACATTGAAGCGTAATAATTATCAATATCAAACTCAGCTCAGGAAGAATTGCTGGGCATATCTATACAAAGCCACAATGCGAATAAGTGCGGAAATGCATTAATAATTCCGTTTTTTTTTTTGTTTTAGAAAATTTCGAGTTCAAATGGTTAATGAAAATTTACCTTTGATTTCTTACTTGGTACTTCCGGCGTCGGACTCTTAGTCTTTGGCGAAGGTGTACTTGGGGGTGTGATAGGAACTTGCGTGCTTTTCAGGCTCAAATCCAACGGAGCCGCAGGAAGATCCAGCGGTTCCGAATAACGTATATATTGCTGGAAATGCAAGAGTTGAGGTTCTATGCCCAGTCTTTCTAGTACGGTCGACTTGGGGTAGAAATGGAGATTTCTAGATAAAATATGTACACCGTTAATTAATTTGTTATTATGTCTAGCTGTAGGAATTTAGTGATCCATTATAAATATAAATTCTAAATGTTGTCATTTATATAAAAAATGATAAAAATGCAAATACGGCCAGACGCTAATATATGGAAATACACAGGGAAGATAGACGCATACCATCCGAATCAATTTATACATTTCAACTGACGTTTTAAATCCTGGTGAAAAATTAAATATACTTTTTCCTACTCCCTTCTATAAAATACCAAATTATACACCGATCTAGCGCGCGGGTTTTCGCAAAACAACACAAATATATTCGCTGACATGACCCTCAGAACTGACAAACGTCAAATCTCAGGGAATGGGAAATATCTCCGACAACATCCGATTGCTCCCAAAATCGTGTGGTGAAATCCAGGAAATGTCCGAAGTGGCTCGGCTTCGTGGGAAACGAAATTGACGTGGTAAAGTGACGCTTCCCGCACGCTAGATCGGTGTGTAATTAGGTATTTTACATACTGAAATACAAAAAAATGTAGAATACTTAAAAAATAAAGTTCAACTTTTTAAATTCACCAAAGTTCAGCGTTTGACTGTTGAAAATTAGACTGAGGGATTAGCATTTTATAGATATATGTTGCAAATGTTGGACAATCATCCATGGTTTTTTCATAAAATTTTATGAACTCACGAATCGACTTTCACCACAGCGGAGATGCCCAATAGAAAAAACTTTAGTTGATAGAAAATGATAAAAAATATTTGGAAGTTGAACGTTGTAGATGTCGATCATTAAGAGTTTGATGTGATTTAAAACATAACCAAATATAGAGTATAGACATATAGACCGATAGACTAGAGAAATTTATTTAAAAATTTTAGGAGAAGAAAATGTTTTACAAAATATCACAATCAATTAATTAGCGAAAATTATATAGCTGCCGAATGGCGCCGACAGGATATTTAAATAATACATATCCAACATGTATTGGGCGACAGAGCACAATATGATGGTGTTGTGGGGTATTGAAAAAACAGTTCTTTTTCTTATGCGACATGACAATATAGATCACATTAAAGAACTTAGAAGTTAACAAGTTAAAAAGTTAAAAAGAGGGTATCAACTGTGTATTCGGGAAATTGGAAGAAAATTTCAACATTTGGCGCAATATTCCTAATCAATAAATTAGTGCTGGTATTTTAAAATTTTATTGTTTTTATTTTTATCTCCTTTTAAACAATAATATTGAAGACTTTCCACAACTGTCATAACTAAACAAAAGACTTGACGTTGGCGTGACCAACTAAATGACGATTTTATTTTTGGCTAACTCTGACTTAAATGTAAAAAATAATTACGACATATATATTTGAAATCAACGTCAAAGGACCTTTCTTTTCATGAAATAATATATAGGGCTTTCAATTTAAAAAATATAACTTTGATATACTTTGCATTTTTTGCCACACTTTCCGCCTTCCTTCCGATCGGACTTTAATTCATTTCATTTATTACAAATCTGTACTGATAATTAAAATTTATCGCCCTGAAATCATCCATTTGTTAACTATGTTTCATTATGACTTTAAGTTTACTACTTCAATACTTTTTATCTGGACCAGGATCTCTAAACTTTCCCTGTTTGGCATAATTACAGTGTGTATGTTAGAGTTGGTTTTCATTTTGTTCCTGAAGGTATTTGAAACATATTTTTGATTGTCGATCATTTTGTGAAAAACAAATAACCTTTTATTATATTTGTTCAACCATATCCTTAATTTTGTGAGATATATGTACCGTCAAAGTATCTTTGCGCCTCAGGTTAAAGCACGAAAATGACAAGTATCTTTTTCTTTATAATACTACAATACTACAAACTTTAATGTTGTACCATCAATATTGACTTAGGCGTTACAGGCTTTACAACTAAATTATCATTGTCTAATTATTATTTAAATCAGAATAGTTATGCATATGTCTTACGTTATTTCAAGACCGTCGAGTCGGGTCTTCCAATCAAATAGACTATGTCTCAAACATACTTAATTAAACAATCAATTTAATTAAATTAAATATTGTTTATAACCTGTCCAAGTATGAAAATAATATGAAAAATAGGTAAAAATAAAAAAATGTATTTTGTGACTATATATTTTTATTTTTCAAAGAAACTTCCAATAAAAGATTTGTAAATAGTGTAATATTTTTATGTTTATAATTTTTAATAATAACCATAAGGCTATTTTTCTAACCAAATTTTTCCTTGTATTATATAGTATAAACAACCCTACCCAGAACAGTTTTCACTTTTTCGATAAGTTTACCCATAACCGAATTGCATAGGTCACCTTTCATGTAATAAATTATTAAATTAAGAATAAGGGAGATACGCTGTGAAACCAACAAAAATAGGAAACACCGTACAACAAATAGGAAAATTTTACATTTTACAAAGAAAGTCAATTAGAAAATAATTATTGATGCTTACAAGAACTAAAATATTTTAAAAATTTTTGACAGTAACTTCTAAATCGTGGGTCTGGGTAATACCCTTTGCAAACGAACCAATGGACTGTTCAAGTCATAGTTAGTTAATGGAACGTAAAATCAATCTTCAGACCGGGTCCTATGATTAATTCTAAAATTCAATTTTAAAAGAACAAAACTACAATCGATTATACTTAGAGTATTTGAATGCAACAAATTCACAATAATAGGATCGTAATCCCTATGATTATATTCTGTTATACGTTTTTTTTTTTTTCACAACCGAGCGAAAAGTAAAAATTTGCGCTTCCAGAAAAAAGCGTAAAGCTGCATTTGCCACTTGCCGAGCTAAACTTCTCGCTCAGAGTGGCAATGTATCACTTATATACACAAATAGCTAGATCCCTAAATCTAAAGCCATAGTTGAAGCAATTGTTTTAAATTTTGAAAATTTTTTGAAGGCGCTGTCATTAATTTTATAGGAGCACGAATGGGTGGATAAGTAGAAAAGTTCATGTTTTCTCGAAAAATATGATATATAATTGCCTCGGGTTATTACGAGAATAAATTTTATTGTTTTAGCAATAACGCCAACATGTTATAGACTGTCACTGTACCTGTAGGACGCGAAATCCATCTCATGGTGGTGAGGATACTGCACACGAGGCATACCTCACCGGGTATCACGACCGATTGCGCTTACAACTCACATTTCACTGCACCGCGCTTTACGGAAGTTCTGAGGTTTTAAACTCCCAATGGTGACGCATACCCCGCCTAAACTCTCCAACTGTCTTGCGCTAGGTGGGGCGAGACAAAACGCCGCGATTGGCGGAGCTTTTGCGAGCTTTGTTCATTGGCATCGCCTGAATACGAGCTTTAGTGCGCTATTTGGAGCGTCCGTCGGTGTAACGGATTTTGTCGAGGAGGAATGGAACAATTTAGCGAAAGATTTTCGGGGGCGGCACGCCGAGGCGTGTATTTTGACGTTGCGTCAGGATCTTTACGCATTTGCCGGCACCATTTGAATATGCTATGTTTTAATAGATTTACAAAACATTGTTCTCGACTATAGTAAACCTATTCGCTATCTTTTTGTCAGTTTCGGTCGGCCTAAAATTCAACCCTATACTCTTGCGAAGCATCACAAATAGTTGACTTGAAAAGTATTAAATTCGATGTCAATATTCTATATTTCTTTTAACAAAACCACTGCGTTTTTTTATTTAATCTCCTTGACTGTCATGTTTTTGCGCAATCTTCGAAAGACACTGTTATACCCAAATTACAACCGTTATCATGGGAGTTCAGGGACAGATGTACAGATGTACACTTTTCTACAAATCTTCTAACTTATCAAGAGGCACTGTTGGGTGCTTTTGAAAATAATTTTTAGTTGGATAGTACCTGGTTTTTGTAGAAAGTTTCTAAATTGGCTATCTAGTTCCATTTTGGCATTGAAGACAAATAATAAGAATCAACGGCCTAATATCACGAGACATTGACATTCTTTCATCTGTACCTCAGGGTACCTCCGGTTACATTCGATTTATTTCAAACCTTTTAAAGTCATTAAATCTGATACAGATAATCTAACTCTCTAGCCTGACTTAAATTTAATTTTCCGCTGGCCGACATTAAATGCTTTTGATCTAAATAAAAAAAAATGCCTTTGTATAAGTTTCGCTAGAATATATTTACCAATTAATTTTGATTACTGTCTGAATTCTACGTAATAACGCTCTCATATTTACGGGTAAAGTTCTATCCTATTCATCCTAAATTACAACTAACAACAGAACAAATTGCTTTGTTATTGTATGCAGAAGTACATTTAAAAATGGATTTTTTTAATGTAAATAAATGCAATTGCTTATTTGAGCGTAGTTTTTGGTTCTGATCAACTTTTTTTAATAACGTTTTTCCATATTGTCAAATTTAAGGGTACTGTTCAGTATATTTCATATGTTTCGTATACTACTGGAGAAAAACTGATGTCTGACAAGAATTTAGATTTTAAAACAGGCAAAACTATTTCTGAACAATAAGTTATTTTCCTAGAATTAATAATAAAAAAGTATCTCATATGATTCTAACTTACTAAGACATATTGAATTTTTCAGTGTAAACGACCTTGAATATATCTATTGCATATATATAGCCACTGGCAACAGGTGTAAAATTGCCAACGCGGCGTATAATTGGAACGAAGGTTAATACGGCAGCCCTATCCCGGAGGTCAAAGTTCTTCTCCATTTAATAGTTTCCCTTTCACCATATCGTCGTCGATCCCCTCTCGTTTCCTTTTGAAAGCGTTTCTTTAAGGATTCGAAGGGACGCATACACACACGTACACATCGAACCTGCTTGGGGTACTATTTACAGAACAATGGCTTTCTTTATAATAAAGAAAGGAACCTGTGAATTTTCGAGATACAAGTAGCACTGTAGCAAGTAGCAGTGATATTATACCTGAATGATGAACGACATTGACAAAGATAAGTATGTGGTCTTGGCCAAAGCTAATCTATTTTAGGTATAGCCTTTTCTCGTATACTGCATCTTTGCAATTTTATATTATGTATTGAATGAAAGTTATCCTTTTATTTCCGAAATATTAAATGAAGTCTTTATATGTGTTAAGGGTTTTTGATTCTGGTTAGTTTGGTTAATTGGGTTGACAACAAGAATAGCTTGTTTAACCTTACAACAAAAGTCTAATATCTCATTGCCTCAAAATTTGGCGGTAGATTATGTTCAGGAATGATGAACCGGTGAGACAATCTGCAGATATCTGCAGATCTCAGCGTACTCTACAAATTTTATACTAGAAACACCAAAAGATCGTGAACCTTCAAGCAAACATCTTTAGCAATTGTTGAAAGTTGAGTTCTAGTAGTCGTACGTACATGCGTTGACGAAAATTACAAGTATTTGATTTGTTTTATTGTATTTGGCAGTTATTTTACATACATGATTGTGTCCAAGTATTTCAAACTAACCAAACTCAACCAGATTTCTAACGCATTACAATCCTGAGAAGTTGTTTTAGAACACCTGTTCAAACTTCTCTGCCACTTCTTTGCTAGATAACTACAACCATTATGCACAGATCAAGCATGCATGTTACCGGACATTTCCGGTACTTTTGAACAGTAAAATCAGAGATATTTTAACAAAGAAACGTGGAAGCACAACTATCTTTATCGTTCTTTGTTCGAATTTAGATTAAGGTCGCAGAAATTAGTCATGAACATGCGGGAGCTTGGAGGTTACACTTGATTCATTGCGTATTTATTCGGACTTTTGCGTAATAACATCTTTAAAAATTAGTTTATTTCAGAATGGGTTAAAAATATATAAATATAACTTCAGGACTCGATTCTCTATGATATTTTAATTAAAATGTATGTATTTCGGTTATTAAAGTGTGAAAACTACGGCAAAGTATGTTTAGCTGAAATGCAATGTAATTTCTGAAGAACATTTTGGAGTTATCTTTATATTACTTTGTGAATATGAGAAGATTTATTATATGTTAGAGAGGGAAAGTCGTGGGAGTCTCACCATTTCTCGATCTTATATTAGTTAGGATAGGTAACAATTAAACACTTCAGTTTCAGATGAGTTTTCGTATTGAACACTCTGTAAACTTTTATAAAATAAGTCTAGGTGTCTTATAGCACTATTGCTATTGCAATAAAATGTAAGGTAGTGGTGTGTAACCGGAAAACTATTAGTGCGCAACTTCATATAACAATTATGCAATCATATCGTCATTTTTCACTTGCTGTTTATTTATTTACTTATGAAAGAAGTACGCTTAGTTTTTTATTAATATCATTCATCGTAGCTATAGAATATTTATTAGGTGCTTTAAGATTTATAAGGGTTAAAGTAACCTATAAAATTCTCAGAAGTGTTATAATAAGGTTTTTCTCCACTCCCTTCTGTGAAATACCTAATTATACACCGATCTAGCATGCGGAAAGTCTAATTTTACTGCTTCAGTTTCTTGCCGATCCGAATCACTTCGGACATTTCCGGGATTTTACCGCACGGGTTTGGAAGAATTCGAATGTTTTCGGGGGTATTACCGCACGGCTTGAATTTTGACGTTTGTCAATTCTGCAAAAATTTACCCAAAAACTAATGATCGTAGAAAAAATATAGTAACTCGTGACTCATATGCCGTTTACCACACTTGTTGCATAATGCTAATATGAATGCTGTAAAAATGTTATGTTATAAAACCTGAAGAAACCAACCCAAAATATTTATAGATAAAGTAATGGAAACTTTTTGAATGCGACATTACAAAACTTTTTTAATATATATTATCATTTATTATATATTTATTATAGCTCTTTCGAGACTCGTAACACCAATGTTTTTTTTTATAAAAGTACAAAAACTGTTATAAAAGCTAATGTTTCTTATAAATCCCTCCCGTTCCGTTCCCTATTAAATATGTTTATTTACAAATTCGGCAACAAATACAAATTGTCCTATTATATAGTAATAGTATCAAAACCTCCCAAACGTAGATTCCAATGCTTGAGCTGAATCGGTAATATTTCATTACACCTGGCTAAATTTTTCAAGAATAGGAATTCGCCTATCGCATTGAAGACAAAACAATACACTACAAATACAAATAAAAGTTAACTATGTTCTTTAATGTGTGAAAATTGGAATGCAGTTATCGATCAGTCTGACAGGAAGATCTCCATTAGGGTTTACGAACATCTTAGTTAGTACAAGAACGCTGATATGAGGGAGACCAAATCTGCTTTCGTTGCCCGTGTTTTGTTCACGGAGCATCAGTTTTCTCCCAACAAAAAAGACAATATATTGCACGAGTGCTCAAAATGTGTAAAAAACTTTTTTTTGTGGAGGAATTAGAAAACACCAAACTCCAATTCAACGTTTTCAATTTGGAACCGACATTTTTTTTTTACCATAAAAACGGTAGATCTCCGGTTTATCCTGGTTATGAACATTCATATTTTAAAATTACAATATTTTTTCGCTTTGTTTGTGCTCGTTTGAGTTGTTTTTTATTTAAATTCTTTTAAAATTTATTTTATGGGTCTGATGATGCCCGTATCGGAAAAATATATTTAACTTGTTGAAAATAATGTTTAAGACCTTATGGTTTTCTGAAGGCAGCTCTCTTCAAGTTCTTATCATTTATTCTAAATTTGTGGTTACTCTATTCTTATAGTAAAAACATTTTCTTGTTTTATACGAACTAGGACTTTTTAAAATAAAAAAAGGAAAATAAATAAAAATAATAAAGAATAACTTTCTTCAGGTTAATTTTTTGTGGCTCCAGAATTGCGCTTTATAAACTAGTTTCAATAAGCAATAAGTTTTATAATCTGATACTTTCGACCTCAAAATATGGAATCGCTTTTGCAGTCCGATATACATTAGAAAAGGAAAACTACAGCACCCTCTATACCCTTAATTTGAACCGAAAAATCATCTGACTCCCTTCGAGACACGGAGAGGGAAATATTGATGTAAAACACGCCACGAAGCGATATTACCAGAAGCTTTTATTATTAAGTAACGGAAATGATGGGGCATAAATCCGCCAATTCGAAAAACTATAACGGAAACCCATTAAAATCAAACAGGAAACAAAAATATATCACTCAATCTATTAGATAAATACCAATTTCAACCGCCGCCGCGTTACAATTAAAAACATAAAAAATCCCGGAGGGCTTCTATCAAAACTCCC